CTCAAGTGATCCTTTTCAGGCTGCATGTGGTCAAAAAGGGGAAGAGAGCTAGAATTTAGCAGGCTCTTCAGCATTAGGGATGGCCATTAATTTTCTTTATGTAATGAAATAGTATTTGCTGATGGGAAGACAGGTTCCCGAGAGTACAGAACGTTCTCTGGCTGGCAGTGGCAAAGCAAGGATGAAATTTTGTCATCAAAAAGGCTAACTTCATTTTTCCCTTTTTGGATCAGGTGTGGTCACTGCTTTAAGATGTTCCTAACATGAAAGGTCTTGCTAGGGCTGAACAAGGCAAATGTTCCATGCTGGCTGATTTTGTGCATTAGAGTCCATTTTTCTTAGCTGTTGACTACATCAGTATTATCATTCTTGCCCAAGAAAGTGGTGTATGAGCAAGGGCTACAAGATGAGGCTATTATAGGATAGAAAAATATAGGAAGACCTTACTTAAAAAAGCTGAAAGTTTCCTAGGCTCTCTTGAAGTTTCTGTTCACAGCAGTGTTCAAAGGCTTTTGATCACTGATGGCAAAAATGACTGCTTATAGATTTTTGTCACATTTCCTAGCTTAATAACTCTAGAAAAGTAATTTTTCATACATGGACTTCAGTTCCTTCCTCCTGTAAAAGAGGATTGAGACTTAGGTCTTGGAGTTTCTGCAAGACTTAATTAATTAGAGTGATTTGGGAATGAAGGATGCCCTGTCAGTGTCACTTATTCTCCTCATTCTGCTTCTTCTGGGTACTTAATAAATTCAGTAGTTTTGCATTTAAAGTCAGCATGGCAAGATTTTCGAGTGACACTGGCTGTGTGGCTCTGGCTGGTCAGTAACTAGGAGGGTCAAATTCCAAGTTGGCATATCTTATTTTCACTCACATAAATTTTCACAGGAGCTTTTAGTGAAATCCCCCTAGAAACTGGATTCCTACCCTGGTATTTTTTTTCCAGGCTATTAATGATAAATGTTGTGTGAATTTTTTTCAGCAACTTGGAGGCATCTTTTACGGCTACATCCAGGAGGAGTGAACCCCTGGACTGACATCCTTGTTCTCCATGTGGGTCTTTAGCAGGCAGCTTTGTTTTTCAGCTCGTGAGTGATTGTTGCTCCCTGCTCTGGAGCCAGCACAGGTAGAATGGAGCAGATGGCTCAGTGTTGCCTAAGTGCTTGCTGAGACACAGCAAATTGCTTCTGTAACCCACTGATAGGTTTCAGGCTTTAATTGAGGCTTTCAGCAAGGCGCTCAACAGTGAAAAGCATTCTGCTGAGAAAAACAGCACTGTAACCATGGCCAAAGGTTCAGGACAGCAGAGTTCAACCCTCCTGGGGATGGCTCCTCTATTTATTTATTTATTTGCTGCTGCTTTCCCACCATCATTCAAGACTCCTGTAATGCTGTTTGCAGGCTGCAGCTCAGCCTGTCAGTGCCACTCAGTCCTTTGTGCTGGAAACGTGCAGCACACACTGATAAACTTGGATTCTGTGCTTGCAGCAGGCTTGGTGTGTCTGCAGAGGTGGCTGCCCCCTGATGCTCCCCTTGAGTCCCTGCCTGCCCTGAGCAGGAGCTTTGGCTGGTCCTCCCTGCATGGCAGTGGGTAAAGCTCCTGCTGTCCTCCTTCTGATGCACGTCAGCATCATCAGCATTCTGACTTTTAATGGACATCTCTGAAGGGGAAAGAAAACCTCCCTTCCTCCTCCCTCGCTCCAAGCAAGGCTGGATTTGACAGCAAAAGAAGGATATTTTTGTGGTGGAGTCGTCTGAGCAGCGTCCTGTTGGGCAAGAGTTCCCTTCAGCAGCTTCCCCTTGGGCTGGAGGAGCTGCTCTAAAATGAGTTGTAACTCACCCAAAAAGGGACAGCCCCGAGAGGCAGGGATGCAAGAACCCAGTGGGCTAACTCTCACCCTCCCCCTGTCCCCACGTTTTGTCAGCTTCTAATTCTGATTTGACTTCTTCACAGTACAGGGCCAAGAAATAGGTTTCAGCATTGGAAATTGTATCTCTTGAGCCAGCTTGGTTTAATGTCCTCAATTAATCAGAAAGGAGTAGTTTCCAGTTTAGAAACTGTCTAATTAGTCAGAAAGGAGTTGTTTCCAGTTAAAAAACCATCTGAGTGACTTTAAATTTAGTGCTGGAGTGGGTCTAACAAAAAGACCCTAAATAAAGGCACTACATGAATAAGAGAAATTAAATTCTATGGTTGAAGTTTCCTAAAGAGTCCAAGAAATCTGTGATCTAGAAGTAGTGCTGGTAGCTTAAAATCACTGTTGGATTCTCTCTGTCCCAAGGAGCTCAGAAGAACAAAGACTTTTGTGCAGTTTTGAAATCCCAGCCACATTTGATAATGTCTGCAGCATGTTTTTGTGTTCCTTCAGCTTTTCAGTGGCTTAAAATGCACTGGAAGTGTGAACTAGACTGCCAATGTGCTTTTGTACTTGGCATGAATTTAATTAAAAAGATAATTGGATTGCTTTATCAGCCTTGACATGTCAGCCTAGTGCCACTCTCCTCTCCCCCTCTAACAGTGCTGACAAACCCAGTGCCTATGAAATCTGCATTTTTCCGCATTGTTCTCCTCTCCTGTGTTTCAGGTGGGGTTCAGAGGTGCCTGTTGGCTGCAGAGCAGTAGATCTGCTCCAGGCTGGGAAGGAAGTGGCTGATAAGCAGAGAGCTCAGGTGGTTCCTGCTGGGGCTGCCCTGGGCCAGCGCGGGGGAAATGCCAGGAGCCACAGAGCTCCACAGCCAAGCAGAGCACACGGGCCCCGTGCAGAGTGTTACGCTCATGTACAGCCCAAAACGTGCAGCTGGAATCTGCCAGGCTGCACAACATGGGCAGTTTATGTGATTTTCATGGAAATGCTGATGAGGAATGTAAGATCCGTTTTTAGTGCAAAACTCTGATGTTTTCATGTAAACATGAGTGCCCAGCCAGTGCTGTTAAATAAACCTGAGCCTGTGTCCAGACTTCTCAACATCCCAGGCTCCTGCAGAGAGGGGAGTGGAAGGGAATGTGAACTAAACGCAAGTTGGGGCCCTGGCAGTTGCTGTCCCTCAGTGCAGAGCTCCTTCCCTGCCTCTGGCATTGCCTCCACTCTTTGGAGCCCCTCCTGGCTCTCATGTGCCCCTCATGTTGTTTTCAGATGTGATGTTTGAACCCTCATCATCATTTCCTTGAACTTGCAGTGTGCCACCAAGCCACCTGTGGGAATTTGGGTGGGTGGGTGGGCTTTCTCTAAATATTGCTTTTCATAATATCAAGCAGCCTCTGTTCCATAGTTTGTGGTCACGTGGCTGCTGAGGTATAAGAGTTGTCCTCTCTTATCCAGCTGGTCTGTGGATGGGGCAGTTGATGAAATAGCTTGGACATGGTCAGGGGCAGGCAGGGAACTGGGGCACATGGGATTAGACAATCAGGCATGTTGTTCTTGAGAGTGGAAATGATGTTGTGTGGAAGATTTGGAGACTTACAGGTTGACTTCTCTTACAGCTGGAAGGTGCCATCAAGACTTTTCAGGCTTCTTCAAGACTGTCTATGAGATTTTTTTTTTTTTTTGCTTTAGTAAAGTTGAAATGAATTCTGAATATGAATTCACATTCAGAATGAAGGATCTAGAAGTGTGATGTTTTGATGGCCTCTCTCTCTCTCCCCCCTTGCTCTTAAAAAGAACTTAAGCTTTAGAAACCATTCAATAGCAAGTATCTGTTGTTAGCCTGAGGAAGGTGTTTGTGAGAGGAGATGATGAAAAGAAAGAGGCTCTGGAGTTAAAAAACTCATTTTGAAATGAAAAGAATTATGGTTTCTCATTGCTTCCACAGAAGAAACTGGTTTAGGCATAAAAGGTTTTATTTTTCATTTAAATATTTCAAGTACAGTGTTTCAGCCACCAGAAAAGGCAAAACTCGGCGTACAAAGCAGCTCCATGGGCAGTGGGAAGCACAGCTGCATTCAGGGTGTTTATGGTGGTGTCAGTGTGGCCTCTGACGTGTCTTGCAGAAGAAGATTTACAAGTACAAGAAGGTGCTGAGCAACCCCAGCCGCTGGGAGGTGGTGCTGAAGGAGATCCGGACGCTGGTGGACATGGCCCTGACGTCCCCGCTGCAGGACGACTCCATCCACCAGGCACCCCTGGAGATCGTCTCCAAGCTGCTCTCAGAGGTACCTCAGCAGGGCTCCTGCTGCTCTCGCATGAGAGACAAACAGTTAAAAGTTTGGGGGTGGGTTTTACTTTAACTTGGGCTGTCAAAATTCTGCCGGCGAGTCTGCTCGTGACTTCTGCTCACTTGAGTGGAGTTTGCACTTGCTGGGGAGAGGGAAAATTTGACCCATCTTACGTGGATTTCTGGAAACAAAACAAGCCCCATTTATCTTGTGTTTGTTGGTTTGGTTTTTGTGGTTGGTTGGTTTTTTGTTTCTTTGGTTTTTTAATTATCTACGGTAAATTTACATGGGTTTAACTCATGCCCTAAATCAGCGGTAAAGCTCCCTTTGACTTCTGTTCCATTGGCGTTGCTTCCCTGACCAATAATTTTTATATCAATATATATACGCGCACCAATAAATGAATTGTGCAGCTATTTTATTTTTATTAATTCTGATAAAGAAAAGTGTATTTCTTCAGAGTTATCGATCTTCCTCCTATAACATCTGTTTCAAATATTTCACTTTTCATGGACAGGAATTGTAATGCCAAGCAGGCTTTTCTTGTCTTAGTTCCATGTGATAGCAGAAGGATTTGATATAAGAAAAAAAATCCACTATTGGTTTTTTTGCAGTAATCAAAAATCTTAGCAACTCACACCATTGTAACCTCTGGATGGATCATGCTGCTGGAAAAGAGCAAACTCTTCTGCATAGGTGGTAGCATAGGTGACTTCCAGTCAATTTATTGGCTTTTCCTGGTACTGTGTTCAAAGAAAGAATTTTGGGAAAACTGGCCACAAAAAAACCCCACCACAACAATCCTTTAAATAATTTTTGTAAAGACATAGAGCTTGTCCTAAGAAAACATTTTAAAGGAATGTATTGCTGGCTTTACTTTCTCAACTGATTGAGACCTCTGGCATCCTGGTGTTTGTGCTGAGCTGAAGGAGAAATGAGGGCTTGCTCCAGTCCTCACAGCAGGCACTGCACCTCCTCCTTTAGGAGAATGATTTTAATGCCATGGCTTTTATTCAGGAAATAAGCAATTGAGCCTTTCTTCTTGTGTCTGGTGGTAGCTGAGGACTGTGTGTGCTGATGTACCAGCTCAAGGGTGCTCTTGGCTCACTCATCTTTCTTCTATTCAACTCTTTCAGAACAACAACTTAACCACTCAAGACCACGAGAGCATTATTGTGGTGAGTACCTTTCTGTCAAAAGCTGAGGACAAATCTGTATTGTTTGATAACAGTTCTCTCAGTGCCTGTCTCTGCCCCAGTGAAGTAGGGCAAATGTGAAAGCCTTTCCACCAATGCTGCTGAGCTTAGGCAGGAATGAAAACCATTTGTCTATTTTTTGTGTGGCTTTGTCATTTCTCTATTCTTATTTCATAGATGAATGACAATAAAGCTTTCTCATCAGCCTGTGTGAGAGAGCACAGCAGGCTGAGTGTTAACAGGCTCTCCAAAAGGCCTCCTTAGGAGGCTACACAGCAATACCCATATCTGTATCTGTACTTTAAATAGTCCAACCCCATCATTTCCAGATGTGCCCTATAAAACCCTTAGGCTGAGTAGTTTCCTGAGGGGCTAATGCTACCATATACAGAATGTCTCCATTGCTGAGGGTATGTGAGCAAGGGATTGCTCTTGTGTCATTCCAGCTTAACTCCCTGCTAACTTATTTTCAAAAATATCCTCTTCAACTTTTTTTCTTTTTTGTAGGTCACATTTATTTAGCCGTAGAAATAAGTGAATCAAATGCAGCTCTGTTGCTTGTGAAACAAAGTACTAGAGAGGTGGAACTTGGTTCCTCATCACTGTGATTTAATTTAATTTTCTGGCAATTTCCAGGAGATTTTCACAGTAATCTAATCTAGAGCCTCCCCACCACCTGATTGTATCACATCTCTGTGACTCCTTCTGCAAAATGACAAGGTGGCAGGTAGCTGCTAGTAGGTGTTAATTGTGTTTAACTGCTGTTTAAGGTACCCTTCTAGCTGGAATCAAACAATGACATAAATCCCTGATGTAGCATTTACTTTTCTTTGCTGTAACTTTCATTTAACTCCAGTGCCAAGGGTAGTTCAGGCACCCAGTTACAACTAGGGGAATGATTTTAAAATAAAATATGAGAGGTGGCCCTGCTGTGAGCAGGGAAGGTGAGCCTGGTGGCCTCCAAAGGTCCTTTCAGCTCTGTTCTTGGTGATGGCTTCTCCAGCCCAGGTCCTGCCCTCGTGTAGGTTTGATTCCAAGCCATTAAGGAGCTGGCAGTTCCTGGGCATTCAGAGCTCACTGCCATTACCCAGATAACCCGGGCTATTCCTGGAAAGAATTGCTAATAGTGTGTGTTTATGCAGCATGTGGAAAGTACACAGTGCTTGGCCGTGCAGATGGGACCAGCTTTCCTTGTCTGGATGGTGCTGGGGCAGATCAATATCCCAATATCCCAGCCAATCCCCTCCTGCTCAGGATGGGACACACGTGTCACCACGGCTGGGCAACGTGACACAGCACAAGGTGGCACAGCACAAGGTGGCACAGCACGTGGCTGCTTCTGGCCATTAACTCATGAGGAAAACCCTGGAAAGGTCCTGTCAGTCTGCCACACTGACCACAGAGGCAGAGCCATGATCTCTGCCTGTCTCTGTTGTTGTTATCCTGAAGCAAACAATCCCGAAGATGGGTTCAGGAAAGATCTTGAGCTCAGGTGTTGGATGGGGAGCAAGGATGTTCTGAGCTCTCCCAGCTGGATGGAGTGCTCTCCATCAGTGCCCTGTGGCTGGGCCACCAGCAGAGGAGAAGTGACCAGTTGCAGAAGGATGGCACAGGATGATGAGTATCATAGTTCTGACATGTAACCAAACAGAGCTTTGCAGTTTGCTTGGGTTTTGTTGTTAAAATTCACACTGATCTTGACCTCTATGAAAACACAGCTGCTGCAAGACTCACAGGGCTGAGTAAGGAGATGAGAGGGAGAGCAAAAACCAAAGCAAAGCCTTAGTAAAGCCCCAGGTGCCATCCAGATAAAATATCTGGTGTTCAGTTGCTTAATACAGAATGTCCTGGCTGCTGTGTTTAGTGTTTTACGTGGAAATGGGTACTGGGAATCCCAGTAACTGAAGAGTGGAAAGGCCTAAAGGCACCACCACATAGAATATGTTATTCTGGTACCATTTTCTAGTTTACAAAGGAAGCAACAGCAGCATAAGTTCATTACCCCCTCAGTGGCAAGTATGACCTCCAGTGTGTTTACCCAGCATAAGCACATTGGTTTGTGCAGCAACAGAGGAATGCTTGATTTTGATCAATAGGTTCTTCCCAGGTAAGAGCAGTGCTAAGTTGCTTTTAGTGAGCTCTTTCTCACAAAAAATGTGCTTGAACTCATTCACAAAGGATATGTGTGTGTGGTGGTGTTCAGTTTTTTCTTTTAGGGAGATGTTCTAGCTGAAAAAGTGAGCCAGATTCATCCTTGCTTTATTACATCCTAAAGCAAAAAGGTCTGTTCCTGTTTCCATTTAAACCATTATAAATAGTGCACTCCATTGCCTGTTTTACATATTTACACTGATGTAGTTAAAAGCAGAGTTTTCCTGAGGATTCATAGCAGAGGTATGCTTGAGCTTACTTATAAAATAAACACTTGGCCCACCTCTAATTTCTCTTTTTGATGCTTTTGTCCTTTTCTAAAGTGAGATTTTATGCCCCCCAAGAAAAATACTTCCCTGCAATATGCTTTCTTCAGTTGCTACCTTGAAATTTAATTTTTCTCCTTTTTCTCCCTTTCTTTTTAAAGGCAATTGCACCTTTGCTGGAAAACAACCATCCTCCTCCTGACCTCTGTGAATTCTTCTGCAAGGTATCAGAACAGCTTTGCTTTCTCAAATCTCATAGTTGTATATGACTGCTGTTCTTTGAGTGGGGAGTTTTTTTTTTTCTGTAACTTCTTACCTCCTGCCCAGATTGAGTTGAGTTTTTGGTCAGCAGGCAAAGATACTGAAATGGTGAACAGCACCATTATGATAAATACCATCATATGCTTAGTATATCAGAGTGTTTTGTCCTGATACTGTGTGAGAGTTAAAATTTTGAGACTCCCACACCTCAGTCTGGGTACAAGAGGTGTATCCTACTGCATGCTGTGTTGAGCTAATGCAGAAATCACTGCAGCCACTGTGTTCAGGTGTGTGTAACTCAGCCCTTATGGGTAATGGCAGTGGGAAGGTCATAAGGACTCATCCTCTTCTCTGGTAAATCCATGCTTGCTCTGCATTTTGTATTCTTTATCCATAAACTTCAGGGTACTTTGGATTGCAGACCTTGTGGATTTAAAAATACTGCTGTTCCTCAAGGCCTGTTTGAGTCTCAGTTTTGAGTCTGCTTAAATTTGCTTGCTGATGACTGGGTATGGATTTGTCAAACGTTCTGGGTGCTGCTTGTAATTCCCATCCAGAGTTATTCATCAGCTGCTTCTTCCTACAGAAACTGAGTCTTGCATTTTCATAAGCACTCTTAGGTCATCAGTAGCCTCAGACCTGATGCATTTTTATTCCTGATTTGGGATTTTTCGATTCTTTGATGTTTCTCAGAGATGGGCACCCAAGTGTCTGTAAATGTGTGCAATAGTTGAAGGAAGGGAAACAGGTTATGAACTTCCCAGAACAGAAGTGGACAGGGTACTGAGAAGGAGAATTTAGCTTCAAAATCAGCCCTGTCTTGAGCAGGGGGTTGGACCAGATGACTTTCAGAAGTCTCTCCCAACCTAAATTACTCTGACTGATACATGATGATTATATATTTCATCCTGTGATGGGAGTGTGGGTTGTTGGTACCTCCCAAGATCCACCACAGGTTTTCAGGCTGGATCCCAGAGAAAGGAGGTTTGTGGCATTACAGTGCCTGTGTGGTCATATCTTCCTTTCCCCAGCCTCTTTCCTTTTGAAACTGTTGGCAATAAGACCCCAAAATGGTGCATTGCAGTGACTTTTGGGAAGAATGGGGGAAAAGGAAGGGAATTTGCAGTTTGTGAGCTCCCATGGGAATCTTCTACTGGGCGCCAGCAAATCCATAGGAACGAGCAGCGTTATGGGTGCCTTAATCTCAGGAAAGATTAATTTAGCCCTTGAATTTTGCTAATCTTGGGGTAATCCATGCCTGGGGTGTGGAGCCAGGGCGTGCCCATCTCCAGGGCTCCTGCAGCTCACAGGAACCCCTCACCTGTTGCTCCTTGCAGCACTGCCGAGAGCGCCCGCGGTCCATGGTGGTGATCGAGGTGTTCACCCCGGTGGTGCAGAGGATCCTCAAACACAACATGGTGAGTGCTCAGGGGGGCTCCAGCAGTCTGGGCAGGTTTTCCTGCCACACCTTCTGTGATCCTCTGCCTGTCATGCCTGTTGTATCTAAATGTGCCCCCCAAAGTGTGAGTGCTGTGTGTAATTGTGTGTCACTTCATCAGTGCAGAGCTAATAAGCTTTCAGTGGGATCCTCAAAAGCATCTGAGCAAAGCCATGCTTTGAGGGATGTTTCTTTTGGCAGCATATGCAGCTCCAGCTCTTTCCCACCTGGCCCTTGGCTCCTTATTTATTCCCTGCATGCCATCTTTGCAGTTAAAACAGTTTAAAATCAAATAAAGAACAAAAGCAGAATGAGGACTTTGTTCATTTTGAGCTGAGCCCTCAACACTTTTTCTGTAAGACACCACCAGCCCTCTTGGTTTCCATTTTTCTTTAGGCCGTGTCCAGCAAGTTCTTACTTTGGTTTCCTGAATGTCCTTATACTTTTCTACTCCTTTTCTACTGCTGTTCTTCCTTCTCATTACAGGATTTAGGTGCTCTATCATTTCATGACTGTTCTTACCCAGACTTTCTCTCTTCTCATTGCTGATCAATTCCTTGTCAGTATTTGAAATAAATGCCCTGCTTTGCTTTTCACCCTGTAGACCAGATTCCCCTCCCCCAAACTCTGAAAATGTTCTTACATGGTCCATATTCCTTTCCTAATAGAGGTATTAGTATCTGGGTTATTTATCAGCTCTCCAGCTTTTGTGGCGTATTAAGTTTCCTGCCAATATTTTTAAGTTACATGAAGAAATCTTTCTTCACAATGCAGTGGCAAAGAATAACAAATAAGTAAAATAAAATATTTAAGGCAGTTGGTTTGGCTGTGATCTCAAGGATGAACCTCTGTAACTTCATAATCAACTTCTTTTCACTAACATATAACTTTAGAGACCATCTGTTATCATGCTGTGATTAGCATGAACCAGTAGAAAACAGTTCATATTTCTTATTTTTCCAATCATATTATTTATCTCCTGGAGTTTACAGAACTAGGTAGAGAGCCCAAGATGGCAAAAAGGTCATATTCCTGGCTCTGTGCCAGCACTATGCAGACATGTAAACATTTTTGAATATTCTGTAGTGTTCAGTGAAATATTCTGTAAATGTTATTCTTGGATTCCAGACTGATTTTTTTAAAGCATCCAGAGCTCTTGAGGGGTCTCAAATAAAATCTAAATGCATAGTGTAATGCTTGTATTTGGTTACCTTCAGAGAATTGGGTATATTTACCATACTTAACATTTGCAGATTGAAAATCAACATGTCTGCACCGCAGTGTGTAGTTGGAGAATTTATGGTGTCAGGTATTAATTGGAGTGGATTTGGGCACTTTACCACTCTCTGGGGACTTCTGTACTGAATAGTGCTTTAGAGAATGTGTGTGTGTGTGCACATAAATGAAGTTACTCTTCAGGGGGACACTAAACTCCATCCCCTGAGGAGGCCCCGTGCAGTCCCTGGGGCAGAGACTGAGCTGGCTCTTCCCACCTTTGCCTCCAGTTTCTTCTGTGGCCTTTGAAAATTCCCAACAAGTTTTGCTCCACAGTTTTCTACCTATAAAATGGGAAAAGAGTGTCTCGTTTATCTTTGATTTTAAGATCTCGAAAGAACCAGGATAGGTTTTTGTTTTGGTGATAATACTGGAGGAGTGGAGACAGTTGTGTGCTGAGTTATTTGAGGAGTGCTCAGCAGCCTCCCAAACCTTTGGGTTTCATCTGTTTGTAGGCTCAGCCAAAATGTTTGAATATAAACCCTTCTTTCTTTTTTTATTTTTTTTTTGAGCAAACAGTATTGGTGGTGTGTGTTGTTCTGTGCTTGGTATGTGATAGGGCATTATATTAAATTTTATTTTAGAGATCAGCAATGACATCCTCTTTATGATCTCTTGGACTTTGATTCCAGCTTCAGTCAGGACACATGGACAGGCTGAAAACTTTCATAAGCAAATTGCAATTGCAAAAGCTGTCTTGCAAGGCATGTTCATGAAATTAATCAAATGTTCTATGAAGCACACATGATCTCCTGCCCTTGGATCAGGTTGCCAGAAGGAGCTGTTAAAAGTTTAATGATGCTAATTGTAATGATGTGGAATTGCCCACAGTCCCTTTGCTGGGTGAGGTTACCAGGCAGCCTTTCAGTACCAGCAGTGACATTTAGGGCTTGAAGGAGACATTGTTCAGTCTGAGCTTGTTTTCAAGTTTTTGGTCAAAAACTTACCAGGTGTTAATGCAGGGTGTGCTACAGAAGTGCCTGAAACCAAAATGAGTTAGCAGAAGGTTTCTGTGCTGGGAGTTTATCATCCCTTTTACAGACCACCACTAGTTCATTACCATTTATGGCATTTCTTTAACATTTCAGCTGCCATGTATTTTTTCCAGCATAGCATCCACAGGCAGCTGGTGGAGGAATAGCTGGGAGTGCTTGTTTGTCCTCAGTGGACCTTGTTCCCCACTTGGAAATTCAGCTCTGTAGTTCTGCAACACCTGTGTAATAAGGTTACACCTGTGTAAATGTGAGGAAATGTGCTGTGGAATAACACTCTCCAGACAGCAGAATTTACTCCTTTCACATCTAAAAATAGCAGGTGATGTGAGGAGATGCAGGATTTCAGCTAGCAGGTGCCTCTCTGACTGCAGGATTTAAAGAAAGTGACTCTTGAGCTCACCTGTCAAATTCACAGCGTAGCTGGAGTAAAATCTGTGGAGGAAAAACTGATCTCTGGTTTTGTACTTGATTGCATATTGATAGCATGTCAAAATGATTTTTTCTAAAACCAGAATAGATACTCATGCCAGACATGGAAATATAATATTTTTTGGGTTTTATTTCTAAAAATCTGCAGTTAGGAGTGGAAGCAAAAGCGCCAAACAAAAAATGTATTTCAAAATCAAAATACTGTGTGAAAAGTGCAGAAGAAATGTAAGTATAGGTGAGGTTTTTGAATTTTTAATTGTTTGTTTCATTATGTAGACCTTTGTTTTCAAAGTGGGTATAAAGAGAAGAAAAGATTGGAAACACTGTCATTATTAGTGGGAAGAACATTATTTCAGTGTGCAGAGATGCTTTTCTCCTGAAGCTTGTCAGCATAATAGCAGTGTGAATTCAGTTGTTTGAGCTGGTTTCTTTTGCAAACCCACGGTTTTGATGTACATTCACCATCTTCACTGAGTCTCTCCTTCTTGGGCAGGATTTTGGGAAGTGCCCTCGGTTGCGGCTCTTTACTCAGGAGTACATTCTGTCTTTGAATGAGCTGAATGCTGGAATGGAGGTGGTGAAGAAGTTTATTCACAGGTTAGTTACATTTAATTTATGGTGTATTTCCAATCCTGTGTCCATGCTTTGGTGTGTTACTTCTCCCAACCCTCGCTGTTAACAGTAGCTGGTGCTTTTTGGTACTGGCAAACAGCAAATCAAAGCAAATTAATCAAGTCCATCCAGCAGTGTTGCTGAAGTCGCTTTTTCAAAATACTAGTTCTCAGATAGGTCTGGGATTTTCTACCTACTTCCACACTGCATGTATTCTTCATATACATTTAGATTCAAAGCCTCTGTAGAATGATTCAAATTAACTTTCAAGCTTATGCTTACTCAAGTGTGAGATTTTGGGAGGACTTTAAAGATACCACATAAATTAAATTGAATCATCAACCCTTGTTCATAAGTAGGGCCATTGCATCTAGAGGGTTAAAGTATCTCTCTGTTATAGCCCTTCTGAAGATCCCCAAGGATGCCTGTCCAGGTCTGTCACCTCATTCTGTCTGACTGCTTTTGTCCTCAGAAACCTTCCTTGCAATGAGATCATTGTTGTTTTTTCTTTTCCAGCATGCATGGTCCAACAGGACAATGCCCACATCCCAGGGTCCTGCCAAATCTTGTAGCTGTCTGCTTAGCTGCCATTTATTCCTGTTACGAGGAATTCATCAACAGGTCAGTGTGAATCCCCAGCCAGCCACATGTTCTTCACAAACGGGATCAGTGTGAGATGGGTGTGCTGGAAAACCTGAGAGAAGCTGAACCTTCCTTCCCTGGTACTCACCAAGGGAGTGAGGAAGGGCAGGGGTGAGACCTTGAATTAGGGGTTGTGTGTAAATCCCTGTGTATCTGCAGCTTTGAACTCGAGCTGGTTTCACAACTGTCTTGGTTATTGTGGAAAATCTGATTCCTCACACGCCGCAGTTCTTGACACACGAGCCAGTTTCCAGTAGACACTGAGGGTTCCCCTCTGCTAGGTTTCCTGTTTGTTTATGCCTATCTGACTTTCCTCATGGTAGAGCACGGACAGGGGCTGCTCAGTGTCCAACACAAATTCCAGACACGAGGGCTGCAGACAAATGTCTGGGCATGTACTATAGCCAGAGACATACTTGGGCATGGATTCTGTTACAGCTTTGCACAACTTGGACAGGAAAGTTCACCTTTAGACTAAACTGGTCTGTCAATTAGAGTAATGGAAAGCTCAAGTCTTTGTCAAATAGGGGCTGCAGAACAGTCTTATTGGAGCCTTTTAATGTTTTTAATTGATTTCAGTAATCCGATTGCACAGAGGAAAGCCATCCGCTGGGCTGGGGTGAAATGTAGTGGGAAATTGCAAAAAATTGTGGCTTCTCAGTGTTGCACTCTCTCTCCTGCTCCCTGCTGGTTTGTCTGCCTACTGAAATGATTTGTTTCTTTGTGAAATCCAGTCGGGACAACTCACCAAGCCTGAAGGAAATTCGGAACGGCTGCCAGCAGCAGTGCGACCGAAAGCCCAACCTCCCCCTGCGCCTTCTCCACACGAGCCCTGACCTGGTCTCTCAGGAGGCCACCCTGACTGAATCCCGCCTCAAACCAGTCATTGTCACCTCCAACGAGATCCACGTGGAGGTGGAGCGCAACAACACGGCCAACCAGAAGATGACAGCCGGCGTTGGCAACGACAGCGAGCCCAACCTCATCGACTGCCTGATGGTCAGCCCCACCTGCAGCACCATCAGCATCGAGCTGAGCCCCCAGGCTGACAGGATCCTGGGCTGCTACGTGGAGATCCTCAAGATGCTGTGAGTGACTGTTCTGAGCAGCTTTTACAACAGTGTCATCCTAACAATGCTGAGGGGGGGCTTTTCCCACAGGCCTGTTGTCTTCAACATCTGTGGTGAGCCAGCACGTGGTTGTAAATCTTAACTCCAGCTCTGGAGAGTCCAGCCTTTGAAAGAGGCATCTGGCACTGCCAAGATGTTCTAAAAATAGTAGTAGGAAGATGGAAATGGAAAGCTTATTTGTACATTGAGCCTCAGGCATTTTACAGAAGACGGGATGTTGGTGCCAGTGGTTTCTGTTTTTGTTCTTGCCCACCAGAAATAAATAAAGAAAACCCATTTGTCTCCTCCAGGGCTCTTGGGATTGCCTGAGACAGAGCTAGAAAAGGCAGGTCTGTGGTAGGTTCAGTACTTGTGCAGTGATAGGCAGCACCATTGCCCTGACTTTAGCAGGAGTTGGATATTGTCATTGTTTTTCACTTAAAAATTGTCCTTTCTTGTGCTTGTAGAAGTTTTATGACTTATTCAGATTTGCTTTTGTTAGAGTAGAGTTTCTCTCCAGTTGATTTGATACAGTGGACCTGTATTAGTTCCTAGGTCTTCGAACAGTCTTTCCACCACAAAATGGTGGCAGGGTGGTTCCTGGCAGGCAAATCTCCCAAATATCTTGAACAGGAATACAAAGGAAAATGTTCTTCAGGAAAAGCTTGGTTTTCTCTGGATGAATGAATGAAAAGGAATAACAGAAAAGGTGGACTGCAGAATGGGAGCTTGTAATAGAAGTGCAGTAAAACAACTTTGTTGACTTTGACAGCTAGCTCTGATACTGAGTTGCAGTATGTTTTGTGGCAAACTGTTAAACTTCTACATTAATTATTTTTAAACAGTGTAAGGCCTAATGAAGTCATAGTTGAACTTTCTAGAATCCAAGACATGGTTGAAATCTGGGCTCTGCTGTAAACCATGAGCATGTGCCTACACTGCAGACAATTGCACATCTGGGTGTACACTCCCAAGGAATAACATGAAGTCAAACTGCTGTGGTGGAGGATTTCGTGAAGGTTTTTGTCACACATTTTCATTTTTTTCCAAAATACATGGTAGAAATTTGCAGCATCACTCTTCCACTCACTACACAGCTGACTTGAAATTACTTAAACACTCATTCAAAACTGAGGACAGGACAAGTGAATACCAGATACTGTTCCCATTAGATTCTTGAGCAGGAAGTTGCTTTGAAGGCTAATTATTTATATTTTTTTCCCCCCGTGGCCTAGGTTCTTCTGCCTTTAAAAATGATTGCATTAAAAAAAGCACAGCATCTGAGTTTGCTTCATCTGGGGGCTTTTGAGTGTGCACTCACCCAGGTGCTCCATCAAACACGTCGTGTATTTATTCCTGTCCCCTTGACTCTCCCTGTTTTCCATAAACACTGAGCACTCTCCCAGTCCTGATGCTGGTTTGGATGCTGACTCACTAAGCATTGACGGTTTTGGTTTCATCATGCAGCTGACACACACTTATAAACAAATTCACAAATGGGCATGTTCTTCCTCACAGTCTCTCCACTTTTAAACATTTGATGTGCCAGCTCCCAATTCCCATTGAATTTGCTAAGCAATGAACTCCTTTCACTCCATACCTTAAAATAATCTATTTTTTGAGTGCATTTCCTGTCTTTTTAAAAATCAAGTTGTTCAACAGCAGCAGTGAAAATGGGATTGTGTTACTGTTAGAGGTGTTGTAGGTGTGGGGCAGCTTTGGGCCCTTCTTCTGCCTGTACAGCAGGGATTCTGAGAGGTGAAACCCAGAGGATGTGCACAGTGAGGGACCAGTGGTAACACAAAACTGGTCCAGCTCTCCTCAGAGTGCCCTGCCAGAGCCCACACCCTGCTTGGGAAATCACAGCCTGTGAGAATACAGGGCAGCTCCTAAGGCAGAGCTCTGGCTGTAGCTCCCCTCATTGGAGTTCCCTTCCATTCCTGTTCATCCCCTGATTTTTTTGGGTGCCTGGAAGCAGCAATGCAGAATCTGCTTGCTCCTCATTCTGCCACTGGCTCACTGGGAGGTCTCAGATAAATCTGTCACTTTTAGGTGCCTCATTTTCCTTATTTGTAAAATACAAGTAAAGATTTTCAATGTTGTTTTTTTTTTAAATGCTGAAACCAGTGATGGAAAAGCATTTTAAAAGGACTTGTAGTTATTACCAAAAATAGAAGATAATGCTGTTGTGATGCTGATTACTTTCATGCTCTGACTCTTCCTGAACAAAGGGTTTCTGTTGCATGAAATACTATTACTGTACTTTGAAAATCTGAGAATATGAAGAAAGAGAGTTGAAGAACATGCCAGTAGGAAGAAAACATTAATTATAAAACAACTGCTATCCAGGAGCTGAACTCTCAGCGGGCTTTCAGTAAAATAATGTTCTTATTAGTAACAATGGTAAGCCAAACATAAATAAGTTGCTTAGCATTGAGTTTGATTGTTCTTTTAGGTGTCTGACTCAGTATCATCATCAAAACAGGAGAGTCACCAGCGATGATATCTTTTCTACATAATTAACTTAGGGCAGCAGGGAGTAATTTATTTAAGCAAATTTTAATTATTGGAAGTCTAGCAAATAAGAATTCTCAACAGTAGCTTCAACAGAGGACATTTTATTGTTCACCTGACTCTTGCACAGTGCTTGCTTTTTGGGGAAAACCCTCACTTCTAATATTGATAAAGATGTGATTTAACAATCACTGTAATGCTTCACTTTTTGCACAGAAAGCTGAAAGGGCAGTTTAGAAAGTTCGTCTGTGGGGCTCTTACAGCACCTAGAACACCTTTGACCTTTTTTCTGATGTAGTTGAGTAACAAAACACAACTGTTGCGTACTAAAGGAAAATAGAAAATCGTGATTTTGAAGATGTTGGCAGATGACCCAAAGTCTGGGCAGATTTTAAAGGAGACACAGTCTCTAGGGTAACATAGTGTTTTGGTCCTGCACTCAAAAGTGGATCAAACTTCTGTGCCAATATTCTGTAACTCATTCTAGACTCTGATAGTGTTACTGACACCAGCCAGTGCCTCCTCAGTGCTAGAAGTCTTGAACTGGTGTGTAGAAAATGCACTAAATTAACTGAAAAATTTCTGTTCATCATATTAAATTAGAGGCTTTGATGATGGCTCAGCATTGCCCAGCTCCTATTTGCATGTCAATGTTCCCATGCATTTGGAAATGTCTTGTACAGCCAGACATGTGCTTGAACAGGACAACCATGGTTAAAGAAAGTTGCAGAAGAAGGGGCTGTGTGTCCACTTCTTGGGCTGGAGAACTTTAAAGTTTTCTTTCACCTGAAGAATCCCACTGGGTACAGGGGATGGGGACACATTTAAACTGTCTGCATTGAAATCTAGGTCAATTGGTTGTGGGAACAGACCCCTCTTGGGGAGCTCTGTTGGTGTTGTATCATAAACTGTTACCCTTTGTCTGTGTTGTTTTTTGTTTCCATGGCTGCCTCCAGTGGCAAGGGTCCATCCAGATGTCCAGACACTTGTACCCCTCTCTGGGGCCAGTGTCACAACCTGTTTTGGGCAACCTTGTGTTGCTGTTTCCTGATGCTTCCATGCCAGCTGTGAGCAGTGCAGCCCATTTCTGTTCTCAGCAGTCAGGGCAGAACCTTTCTAGGGTCTTTCAATGGTGCTGAGTTTTCTTCTTTTGAAAAAGCCAAACAAGCCCATCTCAAAAGAAGGCTGAGCATGAAAAGGCACCTCAGTGTTTTGCAGATAGCAGGTTTGTGCCTTGTATTGACAAGGGGTCTGATGAGGCTTTTTCTCAGCCTGCCCTGACACCCTGAGCTAAACCTGATGTTGTACAATTCAGGGAACTGAACCTAGAGCCAGGGAAAAAAGGGATCATGTCTAGGGTATGGTCATATTATCTGATAACAGAGGTTACCTTGTCAATCTGCTCAGTGTGGAGAACAAGCTGCTTCCAAGTAGTTGCTCTTGTCTCTTCACTACCCCCAAACCCCAAGGACTTGGGGCTTGCAGTGTCTCAGAGATGAGAGCCACAGCCTTCCAAACACGAGCACCCACTGGAGCTTCCCCTGGCTGCTCTGCATTCCCCAATAGGTCAGTGGCATGCTCTGAATATCCCAAGTGGATTATCCTGTGTCATGTTTATCGAGGTTGCCCCGGGCTGCTCGTGTGTTTTGGATTGTTTGTGCCGCACATGACGCGCGGGCAGGTTTTCATTTTGGTGAAAGGTGATCCCGGGCAAGGAAAATGTATTATGTTGGCAGGCCAGGAGCGATGATGGCCCAGAGGCAAAGCCACTGCAGTGGGGGATTATTTCATTAATATGGTTGTTGTGTGCCCTGGGCAGTGCCCTGGGACAGGGTCAGGGTGAGGGAGGCTGTGTGCAGGGGCAGGTGATGGCTCTGCTCTGTCACCTGGGCGCCCCCAGGTTGGGCTGCAGCCTGGCTGCTCACCTGGAGCTGCAAATCTGCAAAAATCAGAGCCAGGGAGCCATTCTCCCCCTTTTATCAGGCCAGTCCTGGGAGCTGAGCTGTGTGATGAGTGTTGAGCCCTGCGCCCTTGGGAGAGCTGGGAAGGGAGTTTGTCCCAGGCTGTCCCAGGATCTCCCTTCTCCTGGCCCAGCCTCTTTGTCTGGCTCATTGCAGTGGTTGTTCACTGCAGCCAGAACGAATCCATCTCCCTTTCTTTCCCTGCTTCAAACACTTGTCTTGTGTTGGAGCTTTGAATGGATTGAAAAAGAAAAAGGAAAAAAAAAGAAAAAGCAACTGTCTGAAATGAAAGAAGAGTGCAGATGAGATGAGCACAGACAGAAGGAAAATGTTTTTGAAAAGGGAATAGGTGGGAGGAGGAGAAACACTGTAGGCTTTTAATAAGTAGTTTAGTTTTATTCTTGTGCTGTGTTTGTTTCATGTTTCCTAGCTCACATTGAAGGGATTACAGGCTGTGCAGATTTCATGTTCAGGTCCCACTCATGCGACCAAATTTTATATATTTCAATAGGAGATGATTTCCTTCCTTCCTTTCTTTCTTCCTTCTCCTCCTGGGGAAGCAGACTGATTTCATTTCACTGCCCTGTCACAGACCAGCCCTGCTCCCCAGCTTTGAGAAAAGCCAGTGACACTGTCCCATTCTGTCTGCAGTTTCATTCCAAAACAATTTTTTTCTTACTCTTACTCCTTTGAAGCTCAGCCATGAAAAATTGATTGGTTCATATTATTAGTAATCACAGCTCTCCAGATTGCTCAAGAAGCAGCTTCAGTGGTGTAACACTTAGCCTGAGATGTCACAGGAGCTAAGCCTCAAAGTGGCTCTCAGCTGTTAACTTTCTATTAGAAAAGATTTGTAGGTGCTGTATCTCATGTGATTTGAAGCACCTTTAACACCTCTGGATTTTCTAACTCAGCTTTTTGACTTCTGAGTCTCCCCTGCTCAAAAAAAATCTACTTTTAGCACTGCTTGTATCTACCAATAAAAATGTGTTGTTTTTAGAATAAAATCAGCTGGGAGTTTCTAAAGGGTGTGCATATTTAAATAACACAAAATGTCTGAACTGTGTTCTCACACCTGACAAACGTGGTGAGACCTGTGGCACTTCTCAGGGCTGCAGCTATAGAAAGGTGACATCAGCTCTCTCCTACAGAGACCTGGTGTTTTAACAAGAGACTTTGAGCTGAACCTGAACACAGGCCAGAGTTCTGTGTCACCGACCCATTCAATGTGTCTGTGGGTCAGAAACAAAGAACAATCTTGTAGATTCATAGCTTTAATTAATCAAAGCTTTGTTGAAAGAACCCAGAAAACTCATCTTAGAGATGCTGTGTCAGAGGTTTCCTTGCATTATTTCAGTTTATGTGACAAGCCCCATCCTCAGGTGTGTCATGATATTCACTTTACACTGACTAAATGGAAAAACAACCCCTGTAATGAAGTCCTGCTTCATGTCTTGCTGTTCTGAGACATTAAACAGAGTTGATCATCTTCCTTATTTGTTCAGTGGCTAAGCAGGTGAGGGACTTTTTGTCTCTGGAAAGAACCTGATGAATAGGGGATCACAAAGGGCTCTTGCTGCCACTGACTCACACTCACTTCAGGTTTGTGAGACACCCCTTGTCTCAGAGCTGGCTCTGCTTTAGACCTGAGAACAGAATTTTTCAGGGAGGAGAAAATTAGGTTCAGTGGCTTCCAGCACAACTAGCATGGGCACGAGGTTTCTTTTTTGGATTACTGTAACTTCACATGTGCTCTTCTGGTTTTTAATGCACTAAACCACTTCCAGTGGTCCTCATAGGTTGGTTGCTTGCATGACATAGCACACATTTAACCTGAGCTCACGCTGCTCTTGGGCAAGTGATAACTGCTTCCCTGGTTGGTTTTTACATCATAATTCTCCGTTCAGGTAAAGCTTCTCTGCATGTTGCTTCTTAAGAGTACCTTGCTCATGCATTTAAATTTTCTTTTTTTTTTTTTTTTTGTGAACACATCTTTGTGGATTGTCCAACATCATGTGTGTTATTAGTTTGTGGACATTTCTGGTTTATGTGGTTCAAAAGATGGATGAGACTTTTGGAAATGCACCCATCTTCAGTTTCTCTGAGCCAGAAGTTTCCCTTTGCAAAACTGCATTCTTTTGGAACAGTTCCTGTGCATATGTTGTCTGTCTGTAATGCTATCAGTAGATACTGTCCATTTGAGAACATTACACCTCGTTCCTTCCCAAAGACACACCACACTTTTGTGCCAAGTTTCCAGTAAGCTGCAGCCAATACTCTGGTTTTTAACACTGAAATCCCAAAGGTAGCAGCACTAAGAGGAGGTGGCAGGCTCTTCTGGGTTGTTTCTACAGATATCCCCAGGTGTTTCTGCCCTTGTGAGATTCACTTGTGTGTGTACTCATTGTTACCAATGGCACTGAGAACCAGGGCCTGAGCTTTGTGTCAGAAATGGATTTGGGGCTTTCTTGGACTTATGTCTTATAGCAAAAAAAATTTCCAGTTAAATGTAGAGGAGAGCTTTAAATAGCAGTGGCCTGGTAATTGCTCTACCAACTTAGATGAAAGTATTACTTAGTGATTAAATATCAACAGGTTTCATAAACAGCAAATGTCTTTAAGTTGATATAAAGAAGGCCTCTCTGGAGGTCACTGTAAATACCAGATTTATTGTGCCTCAATGGAGAATGTGCTGGAAATGGAAAGGGAAATGTCACTGTACATTTTGAGAGTGCTTCAGTAAACCAGAAAGGTTATTGGTGCCCACAGTAAAAAGCTTTTAACTCCTTGAACTAACTGTTGGCAAACCATACTTAAAACCTGGTGACGTTAACGTTAACAAAATGTTCATTTTGCAGGTCAGACTATGATGACTGGAGACCAGCCCTGGCCAGCTTGCTTCAGCCTATCCCATTTCCCAAGGAGTGAGTTTGCACTGTTTTAGTATTTACTGCCTTATTCTTGTTACTGCTTTTTTGTGGTGAAATATGCGTCAAGTGAAAAGGAGTGGCAGCAGGAGCTTTGTGCCTCTAGCATTGATTTAGAAACTGAAGCTGATTTTGGCTGATGCAGAGGGATGTGAAGACCTCCCCACGTTCAGCTTCCTTCCCCATTTCTCTCAGATGATCCTGAACAGAAATCTGGTTAACTAGAGCCAGGCAGACAGGAAGGGAGGAAAGCTGGTGAGGAGGAGAGCAGAGTGAGAGATTCAGTGGGGGAGGAAGCTTCGCTGGCGTCACAGACTCCTGTCATTTGGATTTTGCATTCAATGAAGGAGCTGCCCTACAGATCAGCCCAGCTCCCCTGGTAACCTATTAATGAGCAGTGGTGTTTGTAAAGTGCAGACCTCCATGGACAAAAATTACAACCTGTAATTGTACAATTTGCTGGCTTATCACATCCCCTGATGACCTGATGTCTTGAATCACAGAGGTCTAATCCTCCATGCCAGGTTACCTGGGCTACAGTGAGAGCTTGGAGATGGGTAACAGAGACATCATTACCTAAGTCTAACCTGAGTCTTGGGGGAGCTGTAAACCATACCATGATCCAAGGCACTTCACAAAATGGCCATTAATTGCTTTACTGATGTATGATGCTAATTAGCTGCGACCATAGCCTAATTGCCTTGCAATTAAGGAATACACCTGGCTCTTGGAGGTAGGCAAAACCCTGTAATTATATAATGGTACTGTAAGTCTTTTACTTTCTTCTGACCCAAAGCTCCCACTGATATTAGTCAGAGCCTTGTCTAAGACAGACTCAAGAAAAGCTACAAGTTTTGTTCCAAGTAATTTTCCCCTCTAGGTTAATGAAAGAGGCTTTATCTGATTTTTTGAAACTTTTTTTTTTGTCTTATTTGCTGCAGTTGCTTAGCAAGTCCTTTTATTATCTGGAAAGAACTGAAAAGTGCTTGTTTGGTTTTTTTGGGGTCTTTTTTTCCTCCCCTTCTCCTTTCTCTCAGATGCTCATACTCTTCTGTTTTCCATTTCAGGGCTCTTGCACATGAGAAATTCACAAAGTAAGTTTCTGGGGCTCCTTTGTTTTATTGAATAAATTCTTGTATTAGTCAATAATAGCAGTGATGCATTATTCAGTATTGTGTCTGTAATGGCTTTTATCTGTGAAGGGCTGTAGGCATGTTCTGTTAGCAATAAAAAGTTCTCTTTGTAATTTATTGTGCTAGCAGGAGCCCAAGGACTGAAGCCACTGGGTGCTGATAGGAGTTTGTCAGTGCACATCTCAGAAACATTTTCTAGGCTATTGTGAGCAGACCCTGTCCTTGGTAATAACTTTTAGGCATCATATTTCCTTTCTGTGGAAGGAGTTCAACTTGTTTCTCTCTAAATTGCATTAATATATATAATTTAGGTGTTGTTCAAGAGAAAAGTGATATTTGTGCAAATACTGCAAGCAGCAACTGCTTATTCTTGTCCTTCTCACTCTTATTTTTTTCAGGGAGCTGAAATATGTGATTCAGAGATTTGCAGAGGACCCGAGGCAAGAAGTGAGTTTGTTGGCAGTTTACACAGAGCATTAGCCGGAGGGATTGCAACTGCACTTGTTCAGATCTCTCCTTAAGTAGCTTGTTCCAAAACACAGTGTGGTTTTACTCTGCCTAGGTCTCTGAGCAGTAGTGGCCTCTCAGGGTGGTTTATGTGTAAGGTTTATGTGTTGTCACCTCCTTGTCTGGCCTCAGTTGATGTCCTTGTTCTAAACTGCAACCAGAAAGATTTTTCTGTGGGATTAATCAGAGCTTTTCATCTTCTGTACAAAAAAAAAAAAGGAAGCAAAATCCATGAGTCCACACAGCTTACAAAAGAAGAGATTTTGTGTAGCTGTATTTCAGCTCTGTTGTGTGCAAATGCCTGCAATTCTCATGAATTGGCAGCAGGAAGGGGGTGGGAGTGTTGCTGCAGCCTCGTGGTGCCTCAGAGCTGCACTCAGAGCCTGCTCAGCATCATCAGCTTTGGCTGAGTCACAGGGAACCTCTCATCCACGGTGATTCTTGCTTTTGGCATGAAGGCAGGAAAGCTCCCTCCAACTGTGGGTGAAGCTGTATCATCACTGCCCAGGACTCCTCATTTCCATGGGTTTAGCTCTTGTGAGCAGTAGTTACCCTTGCCAGAAGAGACCTAGAATGGCACCAGGATTTCATCTGTCTCCAGAGTTCTGTGCCCAAAGGAAAGAATTTACCTCCCCCCACACACACCTCTCAAAAATTGAAATGGAACATCTGTTTCTTCAAGTGAAGGGGGGAAAAAAAGAAAAGGAAAAAATAAAGCTTAATTATGACTTCTCTATTAAATTGTGGGACTAAATATAGTAATCTCTACAGTGGGCCAAATTTAGACTAATGGTTGCTCACTGGTGCCAGTTTTCCAGTGCAGCTTCCGTGCTCTGTATCCCTGTTGAGTTTTCCCTGTGGATTTCCTTCACCCTGACTCTGGTTGAATTTTATTAGAGCAGGAGTAACAAGAATTGTTAATTATTGGAATGAGCAAGGCATCAGCCACCACATTTGGTATGCAAATCACATCGGATGTATAGACACATGCTGGGAGGACAGGGGGAAAATGACAGAAGCTGGGAAATCTGTGGGGTTTTTCTGTTTGGATTTTTGGTGATGTTTTTTTCCAAGTGAAAGGAGCTGTTCTAGATTAGAGCCATTTTGTGTTTGATTTGTGTAAAGGGCCATGCAATAAGGGATGGTGCAGCTTCCCTCTTGGTTATACTGAAAAATGGATTCTGAGAGGGGAAACTGGCCTGCAGCTCTGCAGATTGGAATATTAACCATGGGATTTCCAGCAGTCCCTGGTTCTGCAGTTCCTTTTGGCCCAGTGTGGGGGATGCTGGTGGTTATTGGCAGGAGCTGTAACCTTCCCAATGTGTTCACTTCTTGGCAGGTGCACTCGTGTTTGCTGAGTGTGAGGGCTGGCAAGGACGGCTGGTTCCAGCTCTACAGCCCTGGGGGAGTGGCCTGTGATGATGATGGAGAGCTCTTTGCCAGTATGGTAGGTGTCTGCAGCGATGGGAGTTTACAAACTTTGCAATAAGTAACTAATGTCTAGTCAGCAGTAACAGGATTTACTTGTTTTTGTCAAAAAATAAATTATCAAAATCACTATTTTGTTAACTGTGAGTGTTCCAGAAATTCCAGATCTTTCTGCCTCAAAATCCATTGACCTCCCATTGCAGTTACAGTTTGGTTATTAGCACATTACAGTTCTCGTTTTGAACCTTGGCATGTTTTCTCACTGATAATGTAATACACAAACCATGCTTGTGCATGTGTATGTATTTCTGTACTTATAAATATCTGTCTGTATCAAAAACTCTCTCAGGGAACATGAAAAACTGGGAGACAGACTGTTCTGTACATCCATACCTATAGTTTACATTTGTAGGCTACCCTGGAATTTAAAACCAACAGTTACATTCGTTTAATCAAGGGATGGAAGGATAGATATAAAAAGGTGTTACCAGTGTCTCTACATTGTTGTGAAGAGGTGTAATTAGAAACCAGCATTCCATTTCCAGCAGTTATTTCTTTTGTAACTCTGCGAAGGGCTAGACAGAAAATAACAGGTTTTAATCAGTGATGTGATTTAAGCACATCACTGTCTTCCTGTGCAGCCTGGGTCAAGCCACTCTCTGTACGAATTCTCCATACACCAAGTAAGATGGAAATTATATTACTGCCTTTTCCTGGTAAGGGGGAAAACATTTGTTGAAGTTGGCTTTGTGAAGTGACTTTCTGCACTTTTTGCATCCCCCACATGCTGAACATTTTGGGACATACAGAACATCAGTGTCTGTCTGTACCCTGAAATTCAGATGGATCAGTTACCTCTGAAACTGATAATGGAAGAAGAGTGTTTACAAAAGGTTTCACCCCTCTTCACTGTTCATCTGTCTTTTATCTTTGAAAAGAAAATTTCTTCAGAACTGTATCATTTCTCCTGAGAGCCATTCAGGATATTTATGAGCATCAGGAGATGGCGTGCATGAGAAAGCACAATGCTAACACACATTAATATGCAGCACTCTGTGCCCTTTGCAAGGATGTTGATAAATACTTAAAGAGCTGCTAACGACTAACCATAAAGCTGGAAAAACACCCTGTTCTGAGATGCACCTAATGTTACTTTACTGTCAGTGTCAGTATTTTCCATTTCTCAAGAAAACCTCTAAAAACACTTAATGAAAACTGCATGAAATGAAATCTCTTTTGGCTTGGAGGTTCACATTTTTAAAGGCCACCTGAGCTGATGGATGCTTAAGGAAAAAAAGATTTTCTGTTTTTCTAAAGAGCTTGCTGATAATGAAGCCATGATTCACATAGAATTGACCTCATCATGGCATGGTTGTGATATTTTAGCAGTATTGAACATAGTGCAGGCAATGCCATGAGCCAGGGGGGCCACAGAATGCATTTACAAGGTTATTGTAGGGTAGTGCTGATGTTGAGTCCACATAATGGAGCTCTTCCTGCCTAGGCTGTTGGAATATGCAAATTCACATGTAGTGCTCTGCAGCAAATGGTGAATCAGCCATCTGGGTTATGAAATAAGACTTTATTCTATGAGCCCAGCATTTAATCTCTAAGGGATTTTCATTGGAAATAATATGACCAACTTATTTTCTGAGAAGAGACATATTTGATTTGTACAAGTGGCTTTGCGTTTCCGCCATAGGCGTTACTATGTGATATCACATGGTGCTTTCTGGAGCTTTCAGAGAGTCTGCACAGCAGTTTTGTCAGCTCAAGGACTCGAAGGAGTGCCACTCAGGGCATGTTCTCAGCAGTCCTTTCCTTTCAGGGAAAACCGAGCAAAAGAGAAAGCAGGATAAGAGCATGAAAACTCATGAAGTCATCTCTGACTTAGTGCTCAGGACTGCTGGATTTTCTTAAAGCAGCCCTTCCTTCCTTCCCCAGTCAGGTCCTGTTTGTCCTGAACAGGTGAATTTGTCTGTCAGCAGCCCTTTTCCAGGGCCAGCAGATTGCCAGCAGCCCTGCCTTTTACCTAGACACCCATCCCACAGAGCCCCTGCTCCCCAGCTGGCATTTCCAGAGAAACCCAAGCGCAAACAGATGGAGAGCAAAACCCCCGGTGCTTCCCCCGGGGCTGGGGTCATCGGGTTACTGGGAACGGGGGCAATTGCACAGCTGCTCTGATGGTTCTGGGCAGCCTGTCAGGCTGTCAGCTGGGCTCCTTTATGGAGTAAAACTTCCCACTCCCTCAGATCTCATGGACATCACCTTCTCTGAAAAGTCACTTCTATTCAGCAGCAAAGCTGTTGAGACTCTGCAACCCTGACTGTAAAGATTCCTTTAGGTTTATTGCAAATATTTAACACTTTTTGACTGCTTAACAATATTCCTTCCAGAGGTATATGTGTTTCTTAGGCCTACACCCCTAATTTTACCTCTGTTTCTTGCATAGGTTCATATTTTAATGGGATCCTGTTATAAAACAAAGAAATTCCTGCTTTCACTGGCTGAAAATAAATTGGGACCTTGCATGCTGCTGGCTTTGAGGGGTAACCAGACGATGGTAGAGGTAAGCCCTAAAAATGTGTGGTCATGAGCAGTGTTCAAGTTCCCAGTGCCTTTGCCAGAACTGGCTCTAGCAGGGGTCAGGTTTGTGTTTTGTCAAACACCAATGGCTGGTTGTTGTTCTCTGAATTAAGGGGAACAGAATATTGTTGTTCTGTAGATATGAGTGTGAATTAAATGGAAGGTGGGTGCATGAATTTTTGGAGAAAGAGGTTGTTTGCTGTAATGCAGCTGCAGAGGTTAGGATGGGAAATAAATGGTGCTGTAGGCTGTGGTGAGAGATCACAATTCACAACCACAAGGCTTTTCCATGATGAAATGCCTGATTCTTGTCTTGCCACCTGCAAAATGAGCAGTGCACAGGAAGTCCCTTTATAAAACCTTATTTGATTGCATTAATACACTTTTTTATGCTTATGATTTGTTATTTTTGTTGTGCTAATAGTTTATATATATATATTTCTGGGCTTCATAAGAGGAGTTTCTTGATAAATGTCATTATCAGCAGAAAGAGAGTGGATAAATAGATGGAAAGAGTTAGTTTTTCATTGACTTAGATTTTTGCATGCTAATTTAATCCAGTAAATAAAGGAGCATGCCGCATGCATTTGAATATAATGTTGCTGGATTTTTTTTTTCTTCATTAAAAATAATTGAAATTGTGGAGGGAATAAAAGCTTTGCATTTTAATTGCAATGGCATGATACTTAGCTGAAAAGGAAAAGCAGTGTGGAGAGACAGCTTGTGTCCTAAATCTTGTGACCCACTGGGCTCATCCCTTGTGATCTGCCCTGGTCCTAGCAGTCTCTAGCCCAGGGTGAGCTGGGGGTGTTCCCAGTGAGGTGGGGATGTCCTGGCCACAGCAGAGAGCTCCCAGCAGCTTCTCTTGGAGCCTCTGTGCCCTTCACCCATCCTGCCTCATGGGCTGGGTGCAACTCACACGTGTTCTGCTTGCACAGAAACCCCAGCACTTAGGCATGGAAAATCCCTAAGGTTGGTGTGCAGTGTCCCAGCTCTGCCAATGCCCAGCCCAGCCCCTGGACCTGGGAAATGCTGGATGGATTGTACCTGTTCTGGAGAGGGCTGTGGCATGGAGCCATCTCCCAGCTCGGAGGCAAATAATTGCATGTCTCAGAAGGAATGAGCACTAATGGGGAGCAGGATAGACAGGCTGGCTTTTGGAGGTTACACTTCATTCTTTACAAATAAAAAATTAATTTTGTGTGTTAGAAGTGGCACAAATATTGCTATGATATCCTCACATCTAACCTCCTTATTGCATGCTCTGAAAACTTAGTCAGGAATTTAAACTGCCATGCCCAGTGTAATTGGGATATTTGAAAGAAATTGAATGAAAGCCCCTGCACTGACCACTCTCCTTTTGTTCTGCTGCTAGATTTTGTGTTTGATGCTGGAATACAACATCATTGACCACTCTCCTTTTGTTCTGTTGCTAGATTTTGTGTTTGATGCTGGAATACAACATCATTGACAATAATGACACCCAGCTCCAGATCATCTCCACCCTGGAAAGCACAGACGTGGGAAAGAGAATGTATGAACAGCTGTGTGAGAGGCAGAGGGAGTTAAAGGAGCTGGTATGTCACCCTGCACACATTGCCATAGCACACTGGGCTCTGTGCTCTCCACAAATGGAGGTACAAAAGAAAGACAAGCAGGGTGTGAAATTCCCAGTTAACAACAGGATGGGAGCAGTCCCCAGAGGGTTTCACTGTGAATATATATACTGTGTGATATTTACTGACGTGACTAATCCCATACTATGTTTATGAATGATATCCAATAACCTGCTTAGGATCCCTGTGAAGGAATAAAGGTGAAACCCTGCTGTCTCAAGATCTTACAAGTCAGCTTGTCAAATTCTGCCACCTTTTGACATATGAGTAGCAAATGGTTCTGGTGCTGGCCAGCATTTCTGAATGCTCTGGCATTCACAGCATTTCACTGAGATGGTCTTTAGGTCTAGTTCTCAGAGCTAGAGCCCACAGAAAAAGATTCTTCCTGGTTTTAAAGAGAGGCCCTACAGATTTAAAATGGGCCTGCTCGCATGAGCACTTTTTCACCTAGGCAAACATACCCACAAACTTCCTCTTCCCTCTTGCACATTTATATTTGTCTTTAACCCCTTCTCCCAGCCCGAAAAGTAGATGCTTTTTTTTGAAGTCAAGCAAATTATTTTATCAGCTGGGCCATCTTAAACCCTTTGCTCACTTTGCCCTGCATTTTAAAGCTGTTTCCTTTAAAGTGAAAGTAGCCAAATGCTGGCAGCTGAAGCAGACAAAGGGCATGAAGACCCACTCAGCTGTGGTTGGTGGATGTCCCCAGGGACACAAGAGACTCGCTCTGGGCAGGGGAAGCAGGGATGAGGTGGAAGGGCTGGCAGGATGCTTTGAAATGGGAGCAGGGTTAGCATTAGTGAGGAGCTTGCTGTACTTCAGTGAGTCTGAAATGCAGAATGGCAGCTTGTTTGACCAAAATATCTTCTCTTTTACAGCAAAGAAAAGGTGGCCCCACAAGGTTAACACTGCCATCCAAGTCCACAGTAAGTTAATCATGTCAATAGAAAAACACCTTTGTCTTTCCATATTTAAACACTTGATTTATCTTTGCCATGTGGCACAGTGGTTTTGGGCAGTTAGTGGGGAGCCATTGCACTTGCTCTGTCAACACAAGTGGAGTTTACACAACTAGGGCACATTTCTGCTCTTGGGTCTGTGCAGCAGTTTCCAGCACCAGCAGCAGGCTGTCACATTTATAGTGCTGCTCACATTTGGAATGGCAGCTCTGGGGACAGAGTTTTGCATTACAAAGGCAAACTTCACAATGTCCAGTTCTGGATTTTAGTCATAGAAGTCTCAAAGAGACCCAGCACTATTGCATTTAAGCCTGGTGCAAACCCAGACTAACTTCACTGAGGCCAGGTAATGGTTCTGAGCACGGATGGGACCTGGACCTCGTGGTTAAACCTTCATGATGTTTAAAAACCCATCTTCAGCATTTGCTCTGACACTGAGGCCTTTGTGTCTCACAAGGATACACACGCAAAGGACATTTTTGTCCTAATGTTTGGACAGATTTTTCCCAGGGTGTGTGAAGCAACGCTGCCACAAGAGCCCAGCTGCTTGCCAAACAAACAGAAACTGCTCTGTGTGGTTCTCTGTTACTGTAAACAAGTGGAGCAGTTGTGCAACTCGCTCTGGTTACCGGTATCGGTGACACTTCAGGCTGGGCACCCACAGCCTCCCTCACCAATCCCTGTCCTCTTCCAGGACGCAGACCTGGCCCGCCTGCTGAGCTCGGGCTCTTTTGGCAATCTGGAAAACCTCAGCCTGGCCTTCACCAATGTGACAAGTGCTTGTGCTGAGCACCTCATCAAACTGCCTTCGCTCAAGCAGCTGAACCTGTGGTCAACTCAGGTGAGTGCTCTGCAGCTGAGGCTCAGGGCAGGAACCAGTGCTGACTAATTCTGAAATTCCACACTACGTCAGCACAAGAAGAGTGTGTGTAGAGGCTTGCTTAGATGACTTTGTCCTCCTGCTATTTTTACAGGGCCTTCCTGTGGTTTAGCTCATCTTGGCAGCTGATTTTTTTTTTTCTCTTCACCACTTTTTTTTCTCAGATTTTTAATTTTTGCTTTATTTTTAATTATAAATTGTTGCTGCTGTCTTGGGTTCCATTGGAACAAATGGAATGTCCATTGGAACAAAATGGAATGTTCCATTTTGGCATGGTTGCTACTGTGTGCTGAGTAGAACCTGTGCTGCTGTTCATGTGGGAAATGCTTCTGCTTTCACCCAGTTAGGATGAAAAAATGATGCTGCAGCTCACATGGTCAAGCAAAGCACAGTCTGCAGTTTAGGCAGTGAATTGCTTGAAAGCTGATCAACCCAATAGCAACCAAAAGAAACTCAGATAATGAATAAGTAGAAGGAAATTATAATGAGAATGTGATTATTTTCTAAGCAAAAAAACCCCAAGTTAACTGAACAAATTACTCAGCTGTTGACTGAAGGAACTTCTAAAATTAATTTTTTTCTTCTATGTTTCCCTGCTGGTTTTGCTCTCTGAGGTTCTCCACTGAATAGGTTTTCCCCATTTTCTGTTAGCACCTATTTATAGTGCTCACTGAAAATGCAATTATTGTCAGTGCAACCACAGAAAGCAGCATTTTTTTACCGAAATGTCATGTAAATATTTTGTTTTGTTTTCTTAACTACTTTGTATCCCAGAAATATCCCTTTTCTTTTTTTATGGGGAATATGAAGTAGAAACTGATTGCTTGCTTGTTTTAACTGTTTGTATGTCCTCCAGATTTGTCTTAACAATGTAACTTTTCCATCTGAGAAATTTTGATGCTTTTTGTTCAAAATTAGTTTGATTTTACTGAACAAAGAGCCTGCTTTTTGTGAAGGTTTTTTTTTTATTAAAAAGGAAAAGAAAAGGGTTTAGATTCCATTTTATTTTGCGATATCCTGGTTTCCATTAATCTAGAAACAGCAGAAACCAAGTGGGTCAATAGAACAATTACCAATCAATAGTGCATTGTTCTTGAGACCAAAATAGCTAATTAATACCACTTGCACTGTGCTTTTTTTTGTGTGATGTGGTTGGGAACTGGCTGAGGCTGCCATAACCATCGTGTATAGCCTGGGTGGGAGCCCACTCATACAAAGTCCAGGCTTCAAAGGCACCAGTCTAATTAAGAGATGGCCTGTGGTTAAGTGCACACAAGTCACTGCGTTTCTCTGTTCCCTGCCTGCGAGACAGAGATCACAGAATCACATAATGGGAATAATGAGGTTGGAAAAGACCTCTAAGATCATCAAGCCCAACCTATGCTTTAACACCTCAGACTACAGCACCAAGTGTCATGTCCAGGCTTTTTTAAACACATCCAGAGATGGTGATTCTACCACCTCCCTGGGAAGAGCATTCCAGTACTTCATTATTCTTTTGGTGAAAAATTTCTTCCTAATGTCCAACCTATACCTTCCCTGACATAGCTGGAGACTGTGTCCTCTGGTTCTGTCAGAGACTGATCCCTGTCTGCAACCTCCCTTCAGGAAGGTGTGGAGAGCAATAAGGTCACCTTTAAGCCTCCTCTACTCCAGGCTAAACAGCCCCAGCTCCTTCAAACGTTCCTCACAGGGCTTGTGTTCCAAGCCCCTCACCAGCCTTGTTGTAGATAAAACTCTTTGCTTTCTCTGCTGTCATTGGCGATGGCAGTGAGCGATGGAGGGCTTGGCCAAGCTTCATTTCCACAGCCCTGTTTGCACTGAGGTTCTTGCAGAGGGGTGGGTGCCTCAGTTCATGCTTGACCCAGCTGTGTTTGTGCCCCAGTTCATGCCTGACCCAGCTGTGTCTGTACCCCAGTTCATGTCTGACCCAGCTGTGTCTGTACCCCAGTTCATGTCTGACCCGGCTGTGTTTGTGCCCCAGTTCATGCCTGACCCAGCTGTGTCTGTACCCCAGTTCATGCCTGACCCAGCTGTGTTTGTGCCCCCAGTTTGGCGACGCGGGGCTGCGGCTCCTGTCCGAGCACCTCACCATGCTGCAAGTGCTCAACCTGTGTGAGACCCCCGTGACGGACGCTGGGCTGCTGGCACTGAGCTGTGAGTGACAAACGGGGGCTCTGTGGGACACTTGGGTGGCTTCTGAGGAGCTCATGTGGGTTTGGGCAGGGAGTGGATCTCTCAGTGCTACAGCGCTGCTTCTGCAGGGGTTTAGGACAGGCTGTGGCTGTGTTTGGGTTTGGTCTCCCCTCCACACTGCCCAGTCCTGCAGCTGTCCAGCTGTGGGATGGTGACCTGAGCCTGATGGCACTGGGTGGCCTCGTGTGGGCTTCGTCCTCCTGAGCTACTCTAGAACCTCTAGATACTCTAAAACTTGGCTCTGACTTCACTGATGGCTCCTGTCCCCATCTCACATGGTCACCTGTTGCCCAGGGAATTCCCAGATTTCTTCCTATGGGTATCCCCTGTGGGTGGGACCTGCCTTTGTTCTGCAGGAGGTGAAGATTGCAAAGCCACCTGGCAGCTTCTCTGTGCAACAGGTTCCCTACTCCTCCTGGCACTTTTTGTTCCTTTGTTTTTGGGGAAGTGAAACTCTGCCTGTTCTTGGTTTAAACAAGGCAAGGCAGAGTGAGGCATGCAGGATTCCCTGAGCACTGAGAGGAGCTCAGTGTGCTGGAGTGAACCTCCCTCCTGCTCCCAGCAGTGCATTACAAACCTCTCTGCTGGGTTTGGAGGGCTGCTTTAACAGGCTTGATCCTACGCAGACGTGCCAGACAGGCCAGTAGTTATGGCTCATCTTAGGAAACTATTCTGCTAAGTACTGGAGCCTAAAATGGGAATGGGGGGAGGAGAGGGAGGACTGCCAGATCAGCATGGCCCCTGTGAGCACCACGCAGAGCACTGAGAACGGGCACTACTCAGAATAATGTGCAGGAAACAGATTATGAGAAGTTGACTGAACTCCTTTGAAGTCAGCAGTCTTAAGCGTATGCTTAATGGCCCTTCCTAAATAGGGACTTTTTCCTGGATGAGGGCCCAAACAGCTGTTTATCCATTTGTATTTCTATATTTTATGCTATTCAGCTTTTTCCTGGGAGTGCTGCACATAGTCATGTCTTGTTTATGCTTTGGCCTACTGCAAGCATGATATTTTAAGAAAATGCAGCATGATCATAAATATATGTGTGTTTTCTGTTTCAGCCATGAAGAGCCTGTGTAGTTTAAATATGAACAGCACCAAACTTTCAGCGGATACCTATGAAGATCTCAAGGTATTTGTGAATTGCACCTCTAAAGATGAGAAGGGTCTGTAGCAGGAGATGTAGGGAGAAGTGACCCTGTGGCGTGGGTAGCATGAAAGGTATCTGAAGAGGGTGAAGTGGGTTATTTTGTGGATATAATGGATAATGAAAGCAGCATTGTGAGGTTGCTGGTTTCAATGGACCCAGGAAACATTTAATATACTGAATGGAGAAGTATGAGATAGAATCAGCAGCTCAATCTTTTCGCCCGTGCTATCAACAGTAAAGGCTTTATCAGTAAAAGTTTCATAAATTGATTGTTTCTGATGAGGATACAGAGACGGGTGCAATCTAGTGCACACCATATCCTGTACTATTAACAGGACCAAAAGTAACTTGGGTGAACAGTATTGTCAAGCTTTGATTTGGAAAGCAAAGTGAGAACTGAAAGCATCAAGGAAGATGCAAATTTATCTTGACACCTCTAGGACTGGAAATGGGCTCTGAGCAGAAATGTCTGCACAGATGCCCAGTTCTGAAATTTGACATGTAATGTCTGGTTTTACTGTGAGTTTATAACCACTTAGGCAAAGTGGTGTAAAGAACCAGGATGTAGCCCCGGGTGGTTTCAAAGCTGAAATGTGTTGGCTTTCATGACTTCACGTGGACTTTGCTTTCATTCTGATGGTGTGTGAGCTGCATCTCCCAAAATCTTTCCTTAGAGACCCAAGGACTCAAGATGAAACTTGACATTTGCTTGTCTTAGATGTTGAAACAGATTGGGCCACGTTTACTTAAAAGGTCACAACCTTGGGTTGAGTTTGGAACTTGAAGCAAGTCCTATAACTGCTCTGCTTTCAAAATTCACTGCAAACATCTATCTTTGGTTCTGGCTGTGGAGCCAGGGCTCCCCCAGGGACTCAGCTGCAATGCTGCTTGCATGGAGTTTTCAAGATCAAGTTTTTAAAACTTGTGTACAATTGTACATGCAAAGAAGTCCTTGGAATTAACAGCTGGCTTGCAGATGGGTTCACACAATGGAGCTTGTATCAGGCCCCAAGCATTTACAAACAATCAAGGTCAATGCTGTATTTGGCCCAGGGCTCTGAAATTGCATCCATGAAAGGCTCCCCTGGTCCCACCCCTGCTTCTGAGCCCCTTTGCCACTCACTTCTTACTGAAACTCACATTTTCCTAACTGGTTCCCTCTGCTCTGGTATGGCATTAATAGTCCTTAGCAGCCACAAAAGAAAGTGACTTGCCAGGGCAAACAGCAAAATTGCCTGTGAGCAAAGTCCTGATGATTGCAGAGAATTCAGAAAGCTGAGAAAACAGGCAGGCATCACTTCTTCCCCTTTCACCTCTTTCATTGAAATTTATCTTGGTGGCCATTATTTTAGGTCTTTGTGTGTGTTCAAAGGTTATAGTTTCTCTCCCTGGGGCACATGGTTGTAGGTTTGTTAAGAGCAGCTCAGACTTCAAAGAACCTATTTTTGATACAGATCTTTCCTTCTTCTCACGTTGGTCTGCCAGAGCATTTGGGGCACAAGCCAGCGATGACATTTCCTCTCAGCTCCATCCCCCAGCCCACTAAACACGCTTGCACACACACAGACACCCACATATGTACCAGGCAGGCTGAACCAGACAATAAATAAACACCCACTACTGAAGTCATTATTGCCTAACTGAAAAATTATTTGCTGGCAGTGTCTGTAGGATTATGAATAGCTCTTATCAAAATACGCGCGCACATAAATCCAGGAGTGAGGTAATAATGACTCCTAGAAACTTCCAAGTCCTCAATTATGCCCTGGCCTAATTAAATGTGTTTATTTGTTTTGAGAGAATTAGCCATGCAGTTATGGTCAGGGAATATGGAAAGGGGATCAGTGAGTAGGAACAAACAACTGATCCCTGTCTGCCTCATGTGGGGTGATCCAGGAATTATATGGCCAAAAGCAGTGGAGTTGTGGAAGGGAGACCACAAAGACACCAAAAGTTGCTAATGTTCCCTGAGTGGTGTTAGTACATGGAGGGTAAAATCAGCAGTGTGGAGGCTGAAGGAAGAACTTGTCTCTCTCTGCTGCAGTTTAAGTGCAGCAAACTTTCATGGCGAAAGTTGGACAGACATGTTTTGCTAAGCATTTGCATTAAAAAATGAAGATGGAGGTCTGATCTGGACCTGGTGGCTGGTGCAGGGGTTTTAGAGCAGGTGGGACTTCGTTCCATGTGTCTGTAAGGGCTGGGCATCCTGTTCCTTTGCCACACCCACATCCAGCTCACTGCTGAGCTCAGCACTGGGCCCAGGGTGTCACGCCTCTTTCTGCAGTTGGTGGTTGACAGATCAACCCTCCCAGTTTGCTGGGAGGTGCTTTGTCCCTTTAGCCCTCCTCCAGATTTGGAAATGACCTCTGAATTGAGTACCTTCAGGGATTGTTTCCACACAGGAGCTCCCAGGGCAGAAAGCCGTGTCTGCCCTTTACCTCTCCTGGGCTGCCTGTCATCCTCACCAGCAGTGGGGCTCTGCCTTCCTAGCCAAGAGGAGGAGATGCTTTCATCCTCTTTTGGGAGCCCACATTGAAAACACAAGTACAATATTCAGAGCTGCACAGGTCCCAGGCTTGCTGTCACACAAAAAGCCACAGGACACGAGGTTTTTCACAATCATCACCAACAACAGTGAGGCAAGGTGCTCTCCTTCCCCAGGAAGTTCCTTCACCCCTCCCTTCTCTATTCCTCCTCCAGATTTGGATACCACTGCTCTGTTGGATAAGCACAGGGAATGATCCCACACAAGAGATTTGACAGGAACTGTTTACCTGAGGCCTGAACTCGTTGTTAATTCTGACCTTTCCTCCCTCACAGGCTAAACTCCCCAACCTAAAGGAGGTGGACGTCCGCTACACCGAAGCCTGGTGAACTCTCCCTGCCTCCCACTCTTCTCTTTTGCTTCTTGTGAGAAGGAAGAGATTTTTAAAACAGACAGATTAAAACAAACCTGAAAATAACTTTTGGCCAATTCCTGTAGAGCAGTGAGTCTGGGGACTTGGTGGCAGGAGTTGTGGTTGTGGGGTAGCAGAGTGGAGTTGTGTGTTTTGGGAGGATGGGGCAAGCCTGGACCCCACTGGATTCTTTCAGCTTTGTGATTTCAGAATCAACATAATTTAAATTGAAAAGGAAGGAAACAAACAAACAAAAAAAAAGAACTTTGTAGCAGCAAGAGGATTATAAAGAGGAAAAAAACACCTTTGTGGATTTTATTTGCCTTTGTGTTTATGCCGTGTGGAGAAAAAAAATATATTCCTTTGTCCTTACTTACCTGGGTTTCCTTGGCTGGCACCCAGCCAGCCAGAACTCCTGTTTCACCAGTTTTGCTCCAGAAAATCAAACTTCAAAAATCTCAAGAGAAGAAAACCAAAACCAATATGATTTTCACCTCCCCTCATGTCCTTGCAGTTGTTATGCAAAGTAATTTTGTTGTACATAAGATTTACATAATGCACCTATTTAAGAAAATGGTTCACAAATAACAGGTCTGGGACCTGTCTTTTATTTATGAATTGTTAATTCTTTTACCCTTTTTTTGCGTATAGTACTGTATAAACTAGTTTGCTGTCTTGTTGTTATTATTATTTTTTTTTAAGGAAATGTCCTCCTTGAAGAATTGCCTTTTAGTAATGCAAACTGTATTATACTCCCTCTTTGTCAACATTCATCGCGTTGTCTTTTTGATTTCAAAATGCCTCAAATGTTATCAAATAGGAAGGAAAATCTTTATCAAGGGGGGTGTGGTTGTTGGGGAAGGGGGTGCAGGGATTAATAAAAGTCACAATTCCTTCCAAAGTCTGAAAATTTTCTTTAGTCTTTTAAGCCATGCCAGGTTTAAACACGGGAGATGGGGACAAGGCGTTTCTTTTGCCAATGGGGTGTTTGCAAACTGTAGATTTTACAAGTGGCCTCTGTTGTTTTCTGTTTACGTCCGATATTTCAAAATGAGGAAAAAAAGCTCTCCCTCCACTTTGTGCATCAGCTTTTTCTGGTTTGTTTTTTTTTCCCCCTCCCCTCATTCCCTCCCCTGTCCTGTGCCCCCCTCCCTGCCCTGTTCTGTGCACGCATTGTTCTGCATGTTCCTCTGGGGAGACTGAGGAAATCGCGGTGTTGCTGATCCGATAGCTCTGACCTGTCTGTAAATGTGACTGCTACATTTTTCAAATTCCACAGTTGCTTAGAAGATGATTTTTTAAAAATTGTGGTTTCTTTTATAACTATGCTGTTGACTTTTTTTTTCATAATGAGCCTTCATTGTACAGAGCTGCTTATTTAAAAAAAATCAAACAAAAACAAAACAAAAAAGTTTTTTCCTCTGTTTAACACTTTTATTTTATTCTTCAGCACCTCAAGGTTTCACATACAGCCAATGTAATTTTTTATATAAATATATATATATATTTAATCTTATTCAATGGAAAGCCAAGCTTTTTTGTTCAGGTTTTTTTGTTGTTTTCTTTTTTTTAAGTTTGTTGCTATGTAGACAACCCCATCCCAAATGATGTTGTTTTTCTCTTTTTTTTTCTTTTTTTTAAAATAATGAAACAGAAATTGAGTCTTAACTCATGTAGTGTGTCAGGTTTTTTTCCCCCCTTCAAATCCCAAACTGTATGAAGATGCAGTCTGGGAAGGAAGAAGAAGAAGAAAAAAAAAAAAAAAAAGAAGAAAAAATACGCCAACATTTTCCTTAGCACTGTTGCTTTTACCAATGGTTTACTACTACTGTTCTGTAGCTGTGTACAAAGAGATGTGAAATAATTTCAGGCAAAAATAAACTGTAAGTGAATATCTTTTAGCTGCGTGCTTTGTGTTTTCTTGGAAGGAGCCTTTGGCTGGCCGGTGATGTGGGGATGCTCTGGGAGGTGCAGGCTCCAGAGCAGGGGACCAGCAGGCAGCCAGGGTGTTTGCCACCCCTCCCCAGGCTCCAGGAACCACCATGGAGGAGAAGGAGAACAGCTGAGCTCTGTATGTCCTGTTTTGCATCCCTCCCCAAGCCTGTTTTGTGCACTGTCCCCAGTCCTTGGAAGGCTTAAGGGGTCCTTGCAGTGGCCATCAAAAGAGCTGCACTGGTGAGGGGAGTTCTTGCACTGTCGCCTGATGTAGGCAACGAGGGAAGCACTGGGGCATCTCCAGGCTCGAGAGGGGTTTTTGTACATTAAGGTGTGTTTTAGGGCTGCCTCCAAAAGCAGGGATGTGCTGTGTTTGTGTTCTCCTGCTGTCCTGGGTGAAGCCCTGCAGGGTGTGGGCTGGATGCCAGCAGGAGACCCAGCTGGAGCTCCACATCTCTGCCTCCATTGTCTGCACAGCTACTGAGCTTCAGCTTTCAAACAAATGGGCCCCACTTGAAACCAATTCCTGCAGGTGTTCTGAGAGCTGCCCTTATCACCTGTGTTACCTGGCTCCTGTACTCTCACTTTTATCTGTATTTCTGTTCTGTTCCACAAAAGAGACTTCAGGACATGGAGAAACACAAGGGTTTGTACCATGCTTCCAGCCAAGCTAAGAAGTGCTCACAGGATGGCCCTTGATAAAGAGAATAACCTTATTTTTTTTTCCTTCACCGAAATCAGACAGCTGTATCTGAGTCTGTTGGGCTTTTTGGGTGTTTCCCCATGAGCAGGCACCACTGCATATGGGCTGTCCTGCCCTGGCAACAGCAAGGACTTTACAAAACCTTTCTGGACCCAGAAGAGCCAGAAATATTCCTGGGATGTTGTGTGAGGGACTGAAAAACGGCCCAAGGAAGGAGATTTTTAGGCCTTGGTGAGATGAAGGCAAATGTTAGATGCAGCTTCTCTTCCTGCTGTGGACAGTGACCCATCCCAGAGCTCCCCAGGCTCTGCCTTTGGGGGAAGTGGTGACAATGTGTGGGTTCTGCAGCCTCACCTGGACTATCAGCCCTGGAGAAGCCACAGAGCTTTGCTGAGATGCTACGTGGGTGACCTGGAGTGAGCAGGGAATGGGAGTGTGTGAGATCCCCCTTCAGCACCTGCCCTGCTCCTGCTTTCTGCTCAGCCTGCAAGAAACTCCTCCTTTGTGCTTCCTCCCTGCTCCTGACCCCTGAAACAGCAGGATCTCCCCCTGCCACGGCAGCAGACTGAACAAAGTGAGATTGGAGGTGGTGAGAGTGGAGTTAAGTGAAATGGGGCTTGGCTGGAGTCACCGCTGTGCCAGGGCAGCTGCCCAGGGTCTCAGGCCTGTGGCAATGACAGAGCAGCCTGGTGAGGCTGTCCCAGGATTGTGTCTGAGTGAGGATTCTCTGTTGGTTACAGAAGGTGAGGATTAGACGTGCTGTAATAGAGATGCTGTGTCTGAGCTTGCACTCTGCATTTCCTGAGCTTTTTGCAGCAGAGCACTGGGCCTCGTGGCTGGCTGCTGGTTTCCCTGGATAATGATGCCTTTCTGCTTGTGCCCAGCTGCTGTTTGCTGATAATGGAGCTGTTCAGAAGCTGCCTGGTTCCATCTGGGAGGTGCCTGCAGCCCTCCTTCCCGGGGACTGGGAATGCCAGGGGCTGGTCTGACCCGCAGCTCTCGCCTTTCAACCTGAACTCGTGCAGCAGCTCTGATGCAAGTCCAAAGAGCACAAAGCCTCAGTACTGCTGAGTTTTGGGAGCAATTTTCTCCTGTCCTCATTAAAAGCCTGTGGTTGTCCTGCCTTCCTACTGCTGCTTCCACTGCTCACAGCTACCTTTTGAGTTTCAGAAGCCCAAACACAGAGATGGATCTCACAAAGTACCTTTGCCTCCGGTTTCCTGGCTGTGTGGGCTCAGCTTATTTGTTGCTCAGAGAGTGAAATAGATACCTAAAATCTTCAGAATTCAGCATGGATTTGCTTGTAGGGGAGTGCTGAAACAGCTGCTGAAGCTTTGTCTGGTGGGATTTTTACCAGGTAAGAGCTTGGGATGTCTTGTTCATGGGATCCAGGTTATCCACAAGTCCCATCCCTGGTGACCTGAGGCTCCTTGCCCAGTACTGGCTGAGGGATCTCATGGGAGGTGTAGGAGATGGTGGCACTGGGCAGGTGTGGGGGATCTGCAGTGTCCCTGGGGATGATCTGCACATTCCTCAGGGTCCTGATCTCCTGTCCCCAGAGCGGGTGGGCCTTGTCCTGGGGCTGTGGCCTGGCCTGGTCCCCAAGGCCTGAAGAGGCTCCGTCTCTGAGGCCTCCAGCACCAAGCACAAGAAGTGTCTCTGACACTCCTGATGCTTCCCAGAAACCATCAAGCCTCTGTTCAGGTAAAGCTCTTTTGGGAATAAAGTAGGGGGCTCTGGACTGGCAATCCTTAAATGCAGCATAGGAATCAAATAGTAATGAGGTAAAAGCAAAGCAGGGATGCCAGCTCCACCCAGCCCTGCTGGCTCTGGAAAACAGCAGCAGCTGGGCCTGTTCCCTTCTTTGGGATTTCCACTGCCCTGCTGGCTGGGAGCAGCAGTACCCTCTTCTCTCATGTGTACAAGGGTATTTAATCCTTGAAACTTTACAAGCATCTGTAAGCAGTAGGGCAGTAAGTGCTGCTGAGGGCAGTGCTGACCTCTCCCAGCCCCTGTAACACAGAGCAGCTGTGCCCATTAGAACACATCACTCACTAATAGTGCTGCCTCTTGAATTTGTAATGAGTTTTTCCAACTAAATGGAGTACATATATCAAAATATTTCTTTTAAGTAGAGGTTACAATGCATTTTTTTTCCATTTTCATTTCTGTTGACAGGGAAAAGCTTAAGTGAGTATTTGAGATTAGCCATTTTTATTAATAACAGATCTTGGAATATCCTTTTTGCCAATAACATCAAACATGCTGGTATTTTTCCTGCTAGCCTGATACCTGCTTTTTTTTTTCCCCAGGTAATCTTGCTTTCATGTTTTTCACCAGCCAGCTAGAACAAGTACTGTAATACCTTTCTAATGTTCCAGTGGGCCCTATCAGATTTAAAATACATACATATCCAAACCTCACAGACCTGCTGGCCATGGATGAACCTTGTTATGTAAATATCTTTTTCCTACTAATCTCTACAAAGATCCAAGCAGAGCTCTGTGTAGAACAGAGCTCCCAGTTTGTGTTCAGACCATTAAATTGGTCTCAGCACCTAAATCCACCAGTTTGCTTTGCAGATCTGGCAGTTGATATAGTAACCAGTTTCTTGTTAATTTTTCTTCCAGCTGGGATAGGATATCAAGCATTAATCCTTTAATTCTTATGCAGCATACATTTGAAGTTCAGTTGTTCACAGTAGATACTGAGATACTTTTAAATCATAGCAGGCTCTCCCACCCAGAATCTCCCATTTTAAAATAAGCCTTTGCTAGAAATCCTTGCCTTTGCATTAAATTATGAAAACGTCCTTTTAAAAAGTGAACTTTGCTTTGAATATGTGGTCAGAGACCCACTGACTGTCTCACTTTAATAGAAGCCTTGCTGCTTTCTTTGGTATTGCTGTACCTCCTTCTATTGAAATACTGAAATCATGGCTTAGGGACACTTTTCTTTCTATATTTTACCTATTATGATGGCATTAAGGATAATTAATGTTAGTGACTCATTTGCCAGGTGCTTTATGATCTTGGGGCTGGGTTTGTTATTTACTGCTGCAGAGGGGCAGAGTGTGATCCCTGAAGGTTGCAAAAACACATTCATCAAGAACACTTCAAATTTCAGTTTGGGCCATAATGTTAGAAACACACAATCTGTGTTGATTGTTGTTTATGAAAGAGAAAAGGTATTGTAAACCTGTCTGTTGACCAGGGTTTTATGTTCTCTGACTCTGTTTTACCAGCTGTCTCCCTTCCATGTGGTTCTCTCCAGGCCTGACAAATGGGATGAGCAGTGGCAGGGCTGGGGGAGCATCCCTGTGCCTGGATGGGGCCCATCAATATCCCCTTCATGGTAAGGAAAAGAGATTCTGCTCTGCACAATGGCCTAGGGTAGGAGCAGGATTTGTCCATTATAGTAACAAAAAAATAAATCAGAACTTTATAAAAACCCCAGCTACAGCTGGAACAAACCTTCCTGTGACTCGGGGGAAGGGCTGTGTGAGGGGCAGCAGGGACAGCTGAGCTCAGACACAGCATTGCTCCTGCCCTCACTGAGGTGAAATTCTTGTTTCAACATTGCAGTGAACTTGGTAGAGAGTATTTTTGGCTGGAACAGTCTGACCCAGACTTCTGCAACAGTCCACTATTAACTGATAAGTTAAAGGAGGCTCTGGAGAAATTGTGGATGTGGCTAACGGGATGAAATCCATCCCTGGAATGGAGGCTGGCAGGGGGCTGGGTCCTCTTGCTCAAGCTGGTAAAGATGCCAGGTTCTGCTCCTTCACAACTCTTTTCTTCTGAAAATGTGCTGGGTGTCATTGTCACAGGGATTTTTGGTCTAGAGCTCAGGGGAACCTCCCCGAGCCCTGAGGGCAAAGCTGCACTGCGTGGCCATGGGATGCTCACACAGGATCCCATGTTTCATGAAACGTGGAATTCCCTCTTTTGGGGGTCTGTCTGGCTTCTCCTGACAGGAGAGTGAGTGGTGGTGGCTCTGCCTTAGTGCCTGTGACAGTGAGATTTTGTTCTTGCACAGTGAGAGCTGCAGGACCCCAGAGTGCCAAGTGCCCGGGTCACCTCCTTCATATTTGAGAGCTTCCAAGTGACCTTTCTTGGAAATGCAGCTGATTTATGAGGACAGGGAAAATGGGGCAGTGCTCAGAGGGCAGAGCATGGTCCAGATGGGTGTTTCCAAAATGCAGCCCCATCCCACTGCTAGCAGTGAGGGGCTCCCCAATACCCCCAAATGACATGAGGGG